ACAGGCTGTTTCATAGGAAGGAATTTAACTAGCACAGTTCCTGTAATGTAACTATCAGCTCGTTTGATTAATATGCACATTTATTCCCACAGGATTTACATTAAACATGTGTTTTGGTGAATAACCATGTCAACTGCTTGGAGGGGGTGAAACTGGAATAGTTCACTGAGAGCCCTAGAAGTTTAGTATGAAAACCCAGTTGTTTGTGTGTGTGTGTGTGTGTTTCCAGAGGCCCTCACCATTTTCGATTCCTTACAAATTCTGATGAATAAATAAATTTCCTGACCCGCATCAAGTTCAACATCCTGCATTTTGTTCATGAACCACATCTGAGAGGGAGAAAAGCTCCACCTGGCGTTCTTTATCTTTTAAACAATGATTTCAAAGGGATGGTGGGCCTTTCATAATTGTTCATTATTACATGTGAGATTAATAGCCATAAATTTACAGTAAATAAATCTTACACCTGTGTTCATCTTATAAATATGAATTAAAGAGAGTTACTATAATATTTAAGATTCCTAAGTATAATTGAGCCAGTTTGTTTTCCTGTAGCAAGTGATGGGATTCAGGTTTCAAGACATATAGCAAACTGTTAAACACATAACTGTAATGCCAACCATTTCTTGTATACATTTTGTTTAATTTGGATGGCATATACAATACGTTGTACCTGATTTTACATATTAGTCATTAAATTTTAAGTAAAGATACTGAGGCTTTTATTTAATCATAAATTACTATATTAAAATGTGTTTGTTTTCAGGTAGATACAGCATACTTTTGGTTATTAACCAATTGTCCTTCAACTGCAAGTGACAGAAACAGCTCACAGGAGTGTCCGAATGCAGGGCAGTTTATTGGCTCATAGACAGCGGAGTCTGGACATGACAAACAACCCAAGAAGCCATCTTTCTATCTCCCACATTTGGCCTTCATGTTTTCCCCCCTGAATTGGTTTTCTCTTCCAGCCAGACTTTCTCTTTGGAAATGCACTCTTCGGAGTTAGAGGCAGGGAGGTTAGGATGTGAGGTGACAGCTGTTGACAGTTTGAGCTTATGTCATCACAACCACAGTATGGCAGCAGGCTGTGTAAAATTTGGGGTAAGAACTTTTATTTTGTCCAGATTAGATCACATTCCATTCCTGAGCTGATGAGTTCCCCCAAAGGAAGGGCAAATTGTCAGAAAAAGGAAGGGTGTAGGGAGCGGGAGAGGGAAGGTGGTTCCTGAGAATATAAAAGTAACAGCGTCCACCGCACGCTTACTTGAATTTAACTAGCAAGAGGTTTCCAATATGAGGTAGCGTAAGGAGTGAAATTCAGAGTTAACCTGTAAACTTCATTGGCTTTAACTAGCGATTTTAGTTCATACTTGATGCCTCTGCTGCTTTGAGTTGCCGTTACTGGCTTTTTTTTTTTTTCCTTGCTTCCCATTTGTGTTTGACGTGTTGCTGCTGGGTTGATCAGATGCCCGTAGCACCAGTCTGTTTCCATCAGGGCTTTGCAAATGTCCAATTTTATCAACATTTGAGAAATACTAACTTTAAAATTAGACTCATACCGGAGGATAATACTTCAAAAAATGAAGACTACTTAAATAAAAATAGGCCCTTAAATAAACCTCTGGGGATCCATACTTCACTTCAAAGTATTTTCTTTCAACTTTGGTCGGCGAAAGCTGTCTGGAGTACGTGTGCATATGTTCTTTAAAATGAGCGAAAGTGTAAACATTTTCCACATTGGAGAGTGGTAGACTGTGCTCATTTTGCACCTCAAAACCAAATGCATCTTTAAGTCTTTAATGAGCTCCTACACAGCTCTGCTATTGCCAGTTTTATTTTCTCAGTGAAGCAAGTTCCAGACCCTTGCTCTTCATGACCTGGCCCCAGGCTAGTTTTACAGCCATCTTTCTTTCATCTCCACTCTTTGCTTCAGTCTCATAAAGCAACACAAAGGTTACCGTATACACATCCCAGACTTCCTCCCCCTGAAGTGCCTTTCTCCTTGTTCTTCCACACGAGCGGATTCTACCTCTTTGAGACCCAGCCTGAGCAGTCATTGCCGTGCTGCTCCCGTGGAGAACTCAGTTATGCTCACACTGCGTGTGTCTCCTGATTGGCTGGTGCTCATGCCGTACTGGTTGTTGAGTGTTTTTGATACCACACTGATAGTAAGAGTGATAACTAATGCGTATTAATAGCTTACTGAATCCCAAGCACTATCCCGGGCACTTTAAATACGTCAGCTCATTTAAGGTTTCTCACAACAATACAGTGAAAGAGATGCCACAATAAAGTCCTGCAGTAAATGGGGTACCAAGAACTCAGTAACAGGAAGTAGGCTGCACTGCTGCAGGCTGAAACATGACAGAGTGAGCCTGCCCCCGCAGCGGTCCAGGAGCTCCTTGCGTCTGGCTGCAGGGCCCCAAATCCGCCCTGCGGTCGGGCACATGACGGCAGGCATCCACACACGTTAAAACATCTATGGGGACATCTCTGAGTCAGAACCATGTCCGACTTACACTTCTCGAAGAGAGTGAGTCCAGGAATCTCCCAGGCAGTTGGCGCCCATCTCATCGGCCTTCTTTGATCAACGCGCCCTCTGCCTCCCCAGCTCCTGAGACAGCCTGCCGCTTCCTCGCCCTCACCCTCCACTTTCACGTTCCTCACCACGACCGCGAGTTAAGGGTTTGAGCTCACATGCTAGGTGGAGAATGGAACTGATTCACATTATTACAGGCAGCATTACTGACGGGGTTTACCATAAATCCATTCTACAGATGAGAAAACCAAGGCACATAGAGGATAAAGTTATCCTTAGGTCAGACTGTTAAATGGTGAATGATGGACCTTGGATATATTTTCCTTCTCTTAATCCCTCTGGTATTATCTTCCTTCCTGTTTACGTAATTGTTTATAAAAGTCTCGGTATTAACCAGTCGTAAAGGCCAAATCCGTGGTTGATAATTGCGTCACAGTGTCAAGCACCGTTTCTGGCCTAAAGTAAGCCCTCAGTAAAGAGTAGCCATTGAAATAAGGCAGGAGAAGCGGGGCCGCTTTCCAGGTTAAAAAAAGAATCTAAGGCTTTGTTACAGATTGATTTCTCAATCTACCACAAAGCCCCCGACTGATAGGCTAATGTTCATAGCTAAAACCTCAGAGCTTAGCATGAGCTAAGCACTCTAAGCACATTGAAACTGTTCATCACTGAATCCTCACAGTCCTGTGAAGTAGGTGCTGACGCGTTTCACTGAGTGTAACATCATTAGTTGCAACATGTACCATTTCATGTAAACTAAGGAAAATGCTGCCGATTAAATTATAACTGATTTTTTTTAAAAAACTCAATTTAGAATACTTGAGCCCTTCTTTTAGGCATTTTACTTCAACAACTCTAAGACTCCATCAATTGTAAGACACCACTGTGTATACCACCAAGAATGAAAAACATTAATTGTATGACATATCCTGACTTGAGATGTTAAAACATGAAAAAAGTAGAATTGATGTGATGTACTGAGACAAATTTTTATTTATATAAGCATTCTGTACTTACATTTTAAACAAGTGAAATTAACTGGGTAAGGCAGTCCTAAAATGTCACAGCCTGACGTCCATGGCTCAGACCTCACAAAGCAGCGACTCTTTTTTTTTAAAGCACTTTCTTTTAGTTAGGGGAGTGGTAATCAGGTTTACTGATGTTTATTTATTTACTTACTTTTCAGCTGAGGCACTGGGGATTGAACCCAGGACCTTGTGCATGCTAAGCACGTGCTCTACCCCTGCGCTACCCCTCCCTTCCCCCACAGCAGATCTTAATGAAGCACTCCACCCGTCTCTGCAGTTTGCTTCAAAGTCACTGACACCCATTTTGCAAGTTCTGATGCTGGTGTTTCCTGGATCAAGTGTTAATAGAAGGGTTTCGGTTGACAATTACTAGCACAACGGTCTGTGGAATGAAGTACTGATGGGTTGCCGATATCCGTTCATTCCACCAGAAACCACCGCCAAGTCCACACATACATGAGCAATGACAAGAACGTCTTTACTGTGGCCTGGCCAGCAGCCTTTTTAAAGGCCCTGAAGAGTTCAAGGATGTTAAAATGGAAGTTCTAGAGTCGGTTAAGTACAATACCATCATTCTGGTTTTCTTTAGGTAAGCCAGGACTTAAACCAAGGCAAGCTGGCCTTCAGAGGAGACGTCCCTAACCATTCGGCAAGCTGGCCTCCTCAG